GGGGGTAGCTCAGCGGGCGCTGCCACCAGTGGGGAGCGAGACTCCTCGGTCTCCGCTTCCCGATTCCTAGCGTTCCTAGACAAGCCCAGTTGGTTTACTTTGGACATCTTTATTAAAGACGACAAGATGTATAGGGAAAATACAATATTCAAGAAGGAGGGGAGCCGCAGTCACTACGTAAGGGAGAGGGCGATCCATTTACCAGGTTCGAATTTCCTGCTTGCCTCCTCCCTGAAAGGCACATTAAAACAACATAAGTATTACACTATAACAGAACTTTTCTAGCTGGTTCACGGCTAGTGTCACTTCCCTTGCTAGTACCTTTCCTGCAGAACACGGGATGGGGGTAGTTGCCAAAGGTAGACATCATTTTCAGCACTTCTGTTCGAAGTCGTCACCAATTCTCCCATTCGTAGCATATATACATCTTCCGCCCCGCTAAGATTTATCACCCAGCAGTAGAAACCCGGATAGATGTCCTTTGGGAAGGGGTTTGCTTTCCGCTGCCAACCGATGTGACACCCCGAGATTTACTTAAAGATGGAAGTAGGCATAGTACTGGGGCAGAAGATCTATTCGACACAGAGAAGGGACTGTGGCTACTGACATGGCCCGAAGGCCAGCCCACCCGATGAAGGCACAGAGACCAAGACACGAGGAGGCCTTTTACCGAACCTGAGTGGTCAAAAGCCAACGTATTACAGGACCACACACTAGCTCTAGCTTAGTGACGAAAAGGTTGCTTCCCGGAAACTTTGAAAACGTTTGCTGAAGGGTTCTAGAATTCCATGCTGACAAATAGAGCAGAATAAACCAAAAAATTTGCTTTTTCGAAAAGCGATGTTGTTGAAAAGTGTTTTGAATAGCTGTTTTTCGCTTTTCTCACTTACTTAGCTACCCATCAACAAAGGAATTTTAAGCTACATTTGCTTTAATTGCCCTCACTTTACAGTAGAATGCAAAGTGCATTTTAAATACACGCTTTCTGAATTTGGATTAGGGTGTATAACGTCTTGTTTAATTGGCCTTAATGCATTCTTGGTTTACTTTTGCCATTCGTTTAAGTGACCTAATGACCTTAATTCTATAGTAATTGAGGAATTTTGTAACTAGTGTGTGTCTGACTTGTTCGGTAATTGGGCTGCGCTTGGCTTTCATACTGCTCTACCTACTGGAACGTGTCTACTCTTCGTATCTTTGATTACACTAAACCGTTACTTAGCACATTTGTTACTAGGTTCTTTTCTCAGCATTTAAGTTGTTGCTGTGTAGGGTATTTGGCGCCCAGAGTACTCTTGTGGTTTTATCATATTTTATTGAAGAATTGCTTGCACACCACATTACCAACTTCAATGTATGAAGTCAATATTCACACAACACTTTTTCTTTTAGGCCTTTGATGCTATCGCTGGGTGCTAGCTTCGCAGTTGGTCTGCTTTGGGGAATAACAAATGTTCTTCTAAAGTATACAAGACCTTTATTAGTATGTAAATTAACGCCAATCAATCGTTTCGAGGTCCCCATAGTCCTTCTTTTGAATCAAATGGGCTCTCTCTTATATTACGTGAATTTAAGGGATGCAAGTAGGGACGCATTTTCTTCTTGCTTCTAGGCTTTACGAATCATGTATCGTTGAGCAACACTTTCAGTCTCGTGGTCTCTGCTTTAACCGCCCACGTTGTTTTCTGTGAAAAGCTTGATTTAAAAGGTGATTTTCATCTCTCGTCCTCGAAAACGGAAGGCTTTTTCGTGTAATCTAAAATGCTAAGTGGAAACGCGATGAACTATTCCTCAGTCACGATGAACCGAATTCGCTGTAAAGGATTCGACAGTGTATCATTTCTATTTTTTAGGTTTTCTCGGGATCACATTGGTTTCAATCGGCATAATTTTCTGTCAGACTGGCTCTTCATGATGTGATTTTTTGTTAATTTTCATCCTTAAGGGTAACTATGACATGTCTCTGATTATCAATTCTTTAATTAAGCCACCTTTATGTAATCTAACTAGATTTTCTGGAGTGATTAATTTTCTAAACGAGGTTTTTGGAGGGGTGCATTCAAGTATTTTAATGCTAATGGCGTTTATCGAGCTACGCATCAACGAGTTTTTACAGGGTATCTTTAAGAGATACTTAACATAAATGCATCGGTTTAAGTAGTATCCTAGTTGAATTTTTGGGTATCGCAGCGGATTGTGGCACTTGCTGCGTTACCTCGGGTAGCTGAGATCGGTTGAACTGGTGCCCTACAGCCAGCGTTTGCCTAGGAATAAAGAATACGGATTTGACTGAATTACTGTTTTCTTTCATATTGACTGTTATGCGATCTGCTGAAACGTCTTTGGTTAGAAAGTAAGGTAATCGCGCCATCCCTTTTAGTACTGTAGCGGACGTCTCCGATGCATGCTTAATTATAGTGGCATTTAGCTAGATTGTTCATCTCTGCAAAGAACTGCACTGATTGCCTAGTTTAAAGGTCTCAACATGGTGTCAAATTTTGTGGCACGTCAACCAATTAATTTAAAGTCAAGCATTGATTTTTAGAATCGCAAACAAGGTTTGCTAATCATTAGGTGATAACATGGGACGACAGTAGAATGTCTGTAACCGAAAGGTCTTCGGGACGCCTTTACCAATTCAGTGCATATGAGTCAAATGAGACGAAACGTCGAATGCGATCACTTCATAGCAAGGCGTGGAGCAACGAGGAGACCATGGAACCTCAAATTCCCCCTGAAAACAAGACATGGAGGGACAAGTTTGCTGCATTTCAGCAAAGTGTTACTTGCCGTTTTGCAGCCCCTCGTGTTACAACTACTGTCGCACACCCATTTTTCAGTCTAGTTCTAATGAGTGGCTCTATTCTCACGGGTCTGTTTCCGCTGAGCTTGATCGGTCGAGCAGTAAGAAGAAGCATCAGAAGAATCCATAGTAGCTTTTCCGTACGATCTTCAAGGACTTTTCGTGAATATGGGATTCAAACGGAGGGTGATGCCATTGGAGGAGCCACGGCGAAACAGGAATGTCACCGTGATGAACGCGCATTCTGTCAATGTCAATCAAATTATTGAAAAATCCACGCCCTATTGGTCATATGATTCCCGTTTTTTAAATTTATTGACCGTGACCAGTGTTCATTTTGTGGTTTCGGGAATTTAGGACAACGAAGAAGATGGTAGAGGTGGCACAGTTTTACATCAGCAATTCAAACTCCATTGAGGGTCCTGGGGAGGAGGAGAAATATAAGGAGGCAAAGGGCAAAAGGCGAGGAAAGTCAGCTGGAAGAGAGATTCCTGCTGTTGGATTTGCTCCTGATCCCACAGCCGAACGCGATCTCGACAATGCCAGTCCTGCGACTATTGACTTTTGCGGAAAATTCAAGTGTCACTACTGCATCTTCGTCTACTTAGCGTCTAATGAAGTGAGTCACTTAAGTCCCCATTTGGATGATGAAGTGGAATAACGTCGAAACTTATGAAATCTTCCTTCAGTCTATTTTTCGATATGAACCAGTTGATTATTAACACGCAAGGTCAGGAAATCAAGTACTACTCCTTTTTCGTTACTAGTGCCAAAGCTTTTTGTTAAAGATGGATCAGTCTTATTTTTCCTCAAAGTATGCTATCCGAACCTCATTACACAAAACTGACTAATGATGGGCATATATAGACCTCAAACGCGGATTAGTCGTTGGCAGCCTAAAAGTATGCTTAGTCATCATTCTTGTTGTATCATCTACAAATCACCTTGCAGTAGCATGCAAGAAGATTTTGGGAATAAAGGTTGCGCAATTCCAACAAGGTGAATTCAGGAGTTTTTTTTACCTATTTTACTAGCAGCATTTTAGTCCCAATTCAATTTTTTTGTAAAATCGATACCATCATAAAGATGTGCATGAAACGGTGCAAATCTTATTCAAAAAATTGATTTTATTTACTAAATGCAGGTAGACGACGAGCTGTATCCGTTCTTCCGCTCCGAATGCGCCGAAATGGTAAAAAACGCGGAGATCTGTGACCTGGCACGGTGTCGCTTATTGAGGTCTGAAGAGGTGCAAGGATCGCTGAAGGATCGTCGGTTGAAGGCTCTTGAGGCACAAACCCAGTGCTCCGTAAAGCTGGGCAAACTGCACGGGCGAAGATCTATCATCAAGGGTCTGCCGCGGCGGCGTCTCACCATCGCAGGGCCCTCCTTCAATCACATTTGTCATGCGGTACAGATGATGGAACACATGTTTCCGCGCCTTATGCAATATGCTATATTCCCCTATCGCTTTCCTGTTGAGAGCGATCTACTAAAATTCCAATCAAACCGTACCTTTGACCATCACTCACACGAGGCCGCTCTCCGATTGCCTGGTGCTTCCAGTCTGACTTCACAAGTCGACGACCATAGCAACTGGCGCAAGTTCATTTGCCCAAAATGAGTAAAATGTTAGACTACCTTCTCGTTTCCGTTACCGCTAAGGCAAAACTGTAGTGCTTCCGATTTTAAAATCACACTTGTGTCTAGATAGATGATTCTCCTTTCATTTTATCATTAGAATGAAGAAACCCTTTCCCCATGTCTTTGGTGAAACTTCCGCCGCTTTAATAGATGGAACGTTTCCCGTATTTCTGATTTTCTTCGCGCATTGTTGGATTTATATTTACTGGACCATTTTCTTTACCAATTTCCTTTCAATGATTTCCAAATGATGACAAATACAACTTTATTCGGTTGCTTTGCTTCAACACCCTAAAGGGGATCAAATGTCACCCCAGCATCAGTGGGAGACTACATGTTGTAACTAAAGCTGGAAGAAAAGGTTATGCCAAACCGCATGCAGATTAACTTGCTGTGTAGAACTTCGCAAAGGGTAACTGCAAGTTTGCAAGGAAACGGTGCGAAATTGAGTTTTGTTCTGGTTATGTCGGTATTATTTCCATTGCAATGGAGAACTTAGTCTAAGTGTGACTTGTTAAACCTCCTGCTGCCTTTGCACTCCAGTGTGAGTTCACCAATGTAAAAATATATTTCAAAAATAGTTCACATCATAACCAATCAATGAAAACTCCACTACTTTTCTTTGTTTGGTTATATTCGTATTCTTAATCGCGTTCATATTTGTAGAATGCTAAACACATTTCTCCTCATACAGTTCCTGTAGGGAGTTTTCTAAAGCTAGCACAATATCATTTTACTGTGATTTTCAAGAACATTGTGACAATTGGTCATCCCTGTGTGCGATTTTAAAAGTAACAATAAGTTTTGCGGGTCTTTTAAATTGGCACTAGTTGAAAGACAAACGTGCTTGCACGGGGTTGATTTCCCATAGATTTGCCTAATATTTATGATATTCACTTTGTTAGTTAATGAGCATCCTCATCCAAGACCTTAACCTTGTGCTTCCCTCAGTTATTGAAGTCGGACTTTAGGTCAATAGCGCTTTATTAACAAATTAATCTTTACAAGTCATAAAGGTAGAAGAAAAAAACAAGAGAAGTTAGGCATTCCAACTTTCCACTTTGCAATCTCCGACGTAAATTTAAAGTGCGGTCTGTTGTTAGTTATGCAGAGCCGCAAGTTGAACTCAGCCTGGAGGTTTAGATTGGTCAATTTGATGAGCAACAACTTATCAGATAAGTGGGTCCTTTAATGTCATAACAGACATTTGATGGAAGTGTTGTTTAGTTTTACTTTGATAAGATCCATCTAAAAGATTAAACAGGTTAAACTAAATCTGTTTATAAATAAGTTTGCAAGTGAGTCATTACTTCCGATTTTATGATTTATCCAATAATAATTTAGTAAATTTTAGAAGCGATAAATAGCCAAATATCCACACCTTAGCTTCCCCTATCTTATTATTACAGTAGGAACACTGGAAGCTGATACAGAGATTGGCATAATCTCCTGGTCCTTTTAAAAAATTTCACACCGTTTAGCGCGGAAAAAATGATGTGTTCTAGGAGGCAAACTTTCTGTCTTTTCCTTTTTTTGAGGCTAGTGGCTGTCATGACAGGTCGACACTACTTGGGTTCTTCCTTTTCCTGTTTACCAATTGCTTTATTGTGGTATGACACTCACGCCCCCTAATGGGTATCAATGTTTACTCAAATAACAATTACTTGAGCCCATGTAGGCAATTATGCGTCATTTTTTGCAGCGCCCTGAGACTTCCCTGAAGACAGAAGGAAGCATAATACTTGGGCAGAATATGTATATTCGACATAGAGAAGGTGCTAGGGCTACTGGTTTGACCCGGAGGCCAGCTCACTCGGCGAGGTACTATGGCCAAGTCCAAGAGTGGCTCTTTACCATACCGACCCTTAAACAAACAACCAACGTATTACAGTAGGCATAAAACCTAAGAATCAACCAAGACAAACAAGAAGTACATTAATTTCTTTATTCTTTAAGGAGTTATAAAAACTTATGCAAATCTCGTAGGATATTAAGAAACATTATAGTAATCAAGTATTCTGTCCGCGGATCTAAAATCTGACTACCTAGAACTTTGACAAGTTCTTGAAGGATAAAGCACTTTTGGAGTAGTTTTAATTATGAATGAATTAACTTTAAAGAAAATAACTCACGTAAACAATCATTGCTAATTCCCTTTAGCATTACAAATTGATATTAGGGAAGTTTACCGCATATTGCCCACTTGATTGTAAGTACATCTTTTCCCTGTTTCCTGAGAATTTTTCATTGCATTAGTAAGAGCTGCTTAAAATCCAACCAATTTTTGCCACAATTTTATAGAAGCATAAATGTAAAATAATTACTCAACCACTATGTTCCGAAGTTCCAATCTTTAGAATTAATGAGTCGAAGTTTCGTAGTCATTTGTGGACGATCGAGCCTATCCATTGGTAATTCTGTTAGAATTATAATGCCATTTGGGCCTGGGTTATGTTACCTGCCTGCGCTTTCTTTTCCAAAGACCAATTCGGTTTCTACTTCACAGAAAGTGCAGTATTTTCCCTCACTTAATAAAAGAACCCCTCTAAAGTATCATACCCATCATCACAACTTATTTTGAGTGCTGATAGAAAGGTTATTCTCCTCTTAGTTACTATGCCTTTTTTAAATCACTTAGTCAATGTTGAGTCATAATAAATTAATATCACCATTGATTGTGATCTAATAGGCCTTCATTACGAATAGGTAATATAATGTAGCTAGCCAGAGAGGGCTTGTTTAAACCGCTCGTTGATGAAGTGAAATTGAAAGACTATAATCGTTTGAATTATACACAAGATGCAAGCCAAATTAAAGCTCCCAATAAGTCCAACAATCTCGATGAAGAGTTCAACGTGCATTCTTTTAAGACTTACCCAGTTAAGATTTAAATAAGTGAAACTAGTGTTAAACATAATTGAAATGAAGTGAAGTAGGCAAAAGTAGAATGACCCCTCGAAATTTTGCTGGAATATCTTTGAAAATCAATGCTTGTTTTTTTCTTTATTAGCAAATAATAATCAAGATCGGTGATCAAGTGTTTTGATGTGACACGTGAAACTGAAGACTATGAATTACTCTCTCTGTGTCAAAGCGGCTTCCACAAGTTCCATCGAGATGTCTTGGTGGTTACTGTCCTCGCCCTCGCACTCGTCGCCACTGTCCTCCTGATTGCTGCTCCACTTTGTATGTGGCACTGTAACGCTGACACTGTTGAGACGCTTCGGCGGCACTCGAAGCTGCTCACGACAGAGGTGAGCCACTATGCCAGCGCCAAACGCATCGCCCATCACGTTGATGGAGGTACGAATTCGATCCCTAAGTGCAAGGCATAATGCTCTATTTACCTACTTGTAAGTAAAAACATCACACTGGTTCAGCGATAAAATTTGATGTAAATATCATTTATAGCTGCCCCTTATCATTCGCATATCATCTTTTCATAGCATCCTAGAAATATTTCTGCCTTCTTTTTTCCATTGATAAATTGTATTCTTTCTTTCACTGGTGAATGGAAAAGCGTGTTTTTAAGGGCAAGTATTATTTGATAAAACACCTCTTCCTGAATTCCAGATAAGCATCATTTGGTTCTTTTTACTTGGTATGTCTAAAATGAACCGTTGCAGTTCTTTGCTATAGCCTCTAAATCCCTGAATCGGTATGATATTTGCAATAAGGCATTTTTAGCAATCGTTCATTTCCGGAAAAGACAACGACTTTTTTGAATATTCACTTATTGGGTTGACACTTAATACTTATTATTACTGAAGACTGTTTGAATAATACCAAATACTGTTTTAGTACCAGATGTGCTTACTGATCCCTATCCAACACCAAATTGTGACATTTGCGTGATATTAAGTTCACGATCATTTTGAAAGATCCCAAAATGAAGCAAACTAACAGCATCCAGTCAACAGCAAAGATGAGTGCAATATCGTTGATTGGAAGACCAACGGAAGTGAGCACCATCACCATGGTAACCAGACCGGCGCTCGGCACTGCAGCAGCTCCAATGGCAGCTAATGTGGCAGTTATGCTAGAAGGCGATAATACAAAATTGTTGTTTCTGTATGCTTAACTAATCGTAACTGAGGTTTTAGTGTCAAATATTTGCCATAAATCCATAGTTCGGACGTTAATTCTTAGAAGTGTCCTCATGAAAAATTAAGTAAGCATAATCTGAATCTCGAGACTGTAAGTTCAATAAATAAGTAATTAATAAATTTTTGCATTCAGTTGAGTTGAGTTCTTAAAGCTTGCAAACATCCAAAAGCTCAAAAACACCAAACCGTTGTTTAAATGCTGTTGTTTGTTCGGCCATCTCACGAATTTAAAGCAGTTGCTAATTTATGCAATACTGTGTTGTTAAATTTGTACGATTTCGATCATGCTTGATACCGCTAGCTCTCCGTGAATTAAAAGTTTAATGGGCATTTTAAAGCGTGGTTTGAAAAACCAGCGCAAGCACAGGCCTACGAGCATACCTAATAGTAACGAGCTGACCGACGGAGAGAGCATACTCATTGATCTGGGCGATGAAGATGCAAGCAACGGCTTCGTAGAGAGCGGTACCATCCATGTTGACTGTAGCACCGATCGGGAGAACAAAGCGAGTCACTCGGGCATCAATGCCCAAATTTCCTTCTAGACATCTAAAAGGAACACATAAATGCAAAAATCTAGATACGTTGCACCGAAAATTTGTTCAACTACCTGTTTATTTTGCGGAGTGCTTGTAATAAGTTGCCGGAAGTGAACTGGCAACAGCCACCACGCCTTGCACATAAACAATCGCAAATGGTATAATGTGTATATTTTGTGACAAGGCCGGTAATTAAATGGAAATTCTTTTAATGGGAAAAAGACAAGAGGATTTCTTTAAATGCTTGCTCCAGACATTTTCCTCGCTCTAAAAGAAAGCTTTAATCCTCTATAAATACGATAAAATTTATTTTCTTCGATATTAAGAATGAGAAAAATTGCTAGCTAAATTGAAAAATGGTGTGATAGTTGCTTGGGTTTCATTTACAACGTACAAAGCCGAAAACCAACAAAATTGCATAAGTATTTATAACACTTTTTAAATAATGTAAAATGAGAATGACTCGTGATTAAATTACAAGAAAAGTCATGAATTATGGTGTTAAAAAGAAAAGAATTGTTTAGGAACTGAATCCTTTCTGATCCTAGACTCTACAATTGTTTAAAGACTCATTGTTCCTCTTGTTTATGATTTATTATACAGTTTGTAGGAGCAAGTTAGCTTTTTGGAGAATAGAGAACGATGTTTGATTGCGCTCATATCTGCGTCCAATTTTGATGAGTGTTGGAACAATTCCTGTTGTTATGGTATGAGCCATTACCACTCAGTGAGTAAGCAAGTATGCTAAGTCCCATTGATACGCATGGTCATTTGTGTGCTGTGTATAGTTTTTCCTGCATTAATCTTCAGCGTCAAAAGTAAATTAGTGCTACTTAGGAGCAGAGACAGTTTGACGTTCTATTTTAATGTAAATAAGCCATGGAGAAGGAAAACTGTTTTTGGGCCATCACGATAATAGCCGTGTTAACCACTAGCAGTGATGAAGACTCACTTGAATGTGACGGGCAGGGTAGCCGAGCTAGATCCAGTTCCAAGAGCCATAAAGAAGGCCTGGAAGAGCCCTTGCATATAGAGGAGGGGATTTTTGTGACAGATGATAAAGTACATCAGCATGAGCGTGAGAAAGAGATGAACTGCTAGACCAGTAATAACTGTCAGCATGTAGAGACCCAAGCCGGTGACTGTGCTCATTAGATCATCTATGGCAATTATCTGACCAATAATGAGGAAAATGATGCCAATTGGAGCATACCTGTATTGGAAAGGAACAAAAAAGTCATGTTTTGATAAACAAACATCGCGTATAATGTAAAACTAGTTGTTCGGCGGAATTCTGTTTTATTAGGCAGCAACATAAAGGACTTCAATTGGTAGTAAACAGTAGATTTGATAGCTTAAAAGATATCATCTGTCAATAAAGCTAAATTTATTTAAGTCGATTCTCATGATAAAATCCTATCTGAGTGAAAGTAAGATAGAACCCTAGTATATATTTCCAAAAACAGAACTTTTTTAGTTTTAAGGATAATCGGATCAATTTATGGAAACACTGCGCTGTTTTTAATGAATGATTTTAAAGTAAATCACAGTCGCATCAGATCAAAATAATACTGAGCAAACAAACCAAAATGTTAAGTTATATTCCTGTGTATTTTATTTTCAGTTGTACAAAAAAAGTTTATCGCGAAAACGGTTTTAAGCTAATCAATTGTCACATTGTGAAATGATGAAATCAACCACTTCTAGTAATTTTCCTTAAAACTATGAAGCACTTGATTTTAATCTAATGCAAGTATCGTTGATTTTGGATCCCAACAACTTCTCAATGTACTGGATATCATCCTATAAACTTGTACACTCGGCTTACCACATAATAATACGAACAAGACGCATAACGATTTCATTCATGATAATGAAGAAATCCAGCATGAGACGACCCTGCTTTCCCATACTGGCGATGCCAAGGCCAAAAGCTACTGAGAAGGTGACCAAGCCTACAATATTCACATCATTGCGCTGTTATTTAATGAATTCCTCCTTTTGACATTTGTAGATTTGTAAGTGCTTAGATGAGCGAAAGTAGTTCTATACTTCTTGAAAAGTAATAGCATTCAACTTTTACTTAAAGTGTTCTTAAAATTGTCTAATTCGCTATTTTTCACATAAAATTTCCAACTGCTGAAACTGATCATCTCTATAATAAAAGAATATGTTAATTTTAAGAGTTTTTGAAACCCTTAATTTTGTTCATGCAGACAATTTTAAACTCTAGTACTGAGTTGAATAAATAAGGCGCTGACTCACCGAGGACGTTAGTGTTGTCGATAAAAGTTGCCGTTGCAATTTCCTCCACAAATTCTTTGATTACTGTTGTGTTGCCCTTAAAAAGTGCTTGGAACTAATTTTTTAGTGATTAGATTAAATTGTACAATGTTTACTTCATTACTTATTTCATTTAGGAAAAAAGGAATTAAAAATGACGCAATCAACGCGTGCTCATTTGATGGATATTATTACGAGTTAATGGCTAATTCGGTGATAAGAGGTGAGAAAAGTTAACTTTGCAGACACTTGCCTCTTGAATTTTCGCCTGTATGGTAACGTTCTTCATTTGGCTAGAGATTTGCTTCGTACAGGCTTGAATGATATTCTCCGGAAACATATTTCTATAATGAATTAACAGGTGAATGGGAGCGTCCATGCAACCGCTTAGCGAAATCATCAATAATGAACTGAGATTTTTTCATTAGACCAAAAAGGTAGTTTGAGCGCAGCTTAATTAGGTGAAATCAACGATATTCGATAAATAAAGGATTGAATATTTTACACTGCTCTGTGAAACGATGATCACCTTCGGCTAATACGTTCTAAAAGTGGAAACTTACTTTCAAAATGGATGTATTTATCTCGTATACAGTACGATTCCTAAACTTTGATTTCTTCAGCAAATAAAAATACCCACAATGTGTAGAAATACACTAAATTTCAAACTCATATTCATTCTTCTGTGGACAATTACTGGAATCGGATTTAAGTAGGGCAGTATGGTAAGTGTCTGCGTGACGGCTCAGCCATAGTTATCTTCCCAAATTTTTACACTTTACAGTTCTTTTATAGCCGGTTTTCGCACTTATGATTGCTATAGTAAGAGCGAATCTTTGCCACGAAGCTTTGATAAACTTTGATCATAACCACTTCGGTAAAGTACATTTTAAGCAGATACATACAAACCTTTTGATAATGTTTAATTCAAAAAGTTTATTCATTGTAACCATTTTATCACTATCACCGTTCCAGTTTAAGTATCTTGGTCAATTAAGTGGCCAATTCCATAACCGTAGCGCAAATTCTCCCTAATTTGAAGTATATAAACAAATTAAATGTTGCTTTGCAAATAGTTAATCTATGCTCTTGTATATTGTTTCCTTGGATTTTAATTAGCTATATACTGCATTAATTTTTAACCATTCACATGATTCTGTTCTAAAATTAGATGGAAACCACGTTTTCATTCGCAAACATTTTACAAAGTGAATGTTATTTCGTTTCGGTGATCTTTTGCATAGAACCCTTAGTTACTCGCAAAATTTTGTTTGCGATTCCAGACATTCTTATTCTGTTTTGGAGATAATGCCGAAAGACATCAAATGCCGCATAATGAACTAAATGGTTTTTAGCGTTCATTATTCATCAAAAGGGCTAAAAGGGAAAGGCTACACTTTCAAAGGTTAAACCAATCCTCCTTCAAACATAGCTTCTACTCTAACCGAAGAGGTCATTTGGCTACATTTATACTTCATAAATTGTGACTCATTTGGTAACAACAGTGTGAAAACATCTTTTAGTCTATCGCAGTAATTGTCGAATTACCTAAAGAGGTCAAGGAAAGCATCCAGTGTGTGAGGGCTGGTTTTTGAGGATGTGGTGGAAGCGACGTGGCTCTCCTTGATAGCTGGATTTCCCGGATGAATGGCAACCACAAGAACAATGCCCAAAATGACCGCCATCAGAGTGGTAGTAAAGTAGTATATCAACGCGTAGGTACCAATTTTGCCACATGATCTCGTGTCCAAATTCGCTAGACCTAAAACCCACAAGTATGGTAGCTGTAACTGTCGGGAAAGTTAAGTTTATGTAGGGTCGGAAAGTGTTCAAAATTACTAGGAATTATTGTCAATGGTAATTTATTAAGACTTAGATTAGCGTGCGAGATCAGGTAACCTTTAGTCCACATAAATTATTATTATAACCCACCAAAGCCATCTTTTTAGTACCACTAAAGTGTTAAAAATACATCTCCTTCTTCGTCATTAATTAAAAAACTGGTTTATCGAACACTACATTTTCTGATCTGTACACTTAACTACAAGCATTTGTTTAATACTAATGTAGATAAATGCATGCATTTTCACAGTCTATGGAAAACTACCTAAATATAAGATTAACTTAAATTTAGAAAACCGTTGCAAAAGCTTATTTATGGTAGAACCATAGCCTGGAATTCGAAAACACTTTTTGTCTCGAAGCGACAAGAGCGTACACTTATTTTTACCAGAAAAATTTAGTGTGTGGTCCTGTAATACGTTGGCTTTTGACCACTCAGGTTCGGTAAAAGGCCTCCTCGTGTCTTGGTCTCTGTGCCTTCATCGGGTGGGCTGGCCTTCGGGCCATGTCAGTAGCCACAGTCCCTTCTCTGTG